AGCATAGCTAACTCTGGTTCTAAGTGAGGTCAGTTAGTGAATGCATTGGAGCCCCTGTTCAATGAAGCGCAGGTATGGATGCTGCAGGACATGGAAGACAGATAATCTGATGTCGTGACTACAGAACAGGATCTGGAACTAGACCTGGGCACAAGCCTGTTCCAGATCTCTATGCAGATTTCCATGGACAAATTACTGTATGATTTGGACTATTTCGTTTATCATTGATTAAAGGATAAGGAAAACATCATTTACCTCATAGGATTGTCGGATTGTTGTAAGATTAAATAAAATGTAAAACCAATCAGTACATCAAAAGTGCTCAGTAAGTGCTGGGCAACTGTGACACATGCCTGTAATCCCAGCAGCTTGGGAGGCTGAGGCAGGAGGAGTGCAAGTTCAAAGCCAGCCTCAGCACAAAAAAGAGAGGCACTTAGCAACTCAGACCCTGTATCTAAATAAAATACAAAATAGGGCTGGGGATGTGGCTCAGTGGTTGTGTGCCCCTGAGTTTAATCCCTGGTACCACCCCCTACCAAAAAAAAAAAAAACAAAAAAAACCCAAGTGCTCAGTCAGTGATGGCAATTACTATTATTTCATTTCTCTGAGTCTCTTTTCTGAAGGAAAATAAAGAGGTGAGAGGCAGGAAATGTTTGCTGCTTCACAGAAAGGTTGATGAGGAAGTAGTTACTAAAAATATTTAGAATAGTATTTAGTATAAACTCATCATGCAATACATAGCTGATCAAGAGAAAGATTTTAAAAATGAGAAAAATGATCTGGATTGCTTAAATTTTTTCAGGGGTGCAGCACTATTTCACCAGCAGGAAGGATGGACTCATACATACTTCAAAATCTGACTATAATTTTAGTGGGCTGCTGCATTATATAAAATGTGGGGTCCTTGGCTGTTTAGGCTTAAAATCTTGATTGAAGGTTGGAGGAGGTTAGAGGAAATGGAAATTTTGTGAGGGCAATTGTCCTTTCCTTTATTTTAAATGTGTTAAGTCCATTACTCATTTTAAAACTCAGTCAGCTGCGGCAGGCACAGCCCTAAGTGTAAATTAATAAACTCCTTTGGTGGAAGAAACAGGAAACAATGGCAAATATTTAATCTTTCCCCTTCAAAGTTGGACTGGTTTATTCACTGCCCTTTTTGAATGTGCTATTGATTTTAAGCCCCCTTTGGCCTTTTCTTTTGATTAGAGCTAATGGAAATGGCCCCCCATGTCCTCATTTTCCATTCTTCAACCTGTCTGGACTTTTGCCTCCAAAGGTTACCATTGCTATGAAGTAATGTAGTTTGTCATCACCACTGAGACAGATTTATTCAGGGTTCTCTCCCCACAGATGTCTGTAAGCAGGGTGAATCTGACATCCAGGATTGTCCACTGGGGTTGGACATTACATTTATAGAATCCAAGCCCAAAACGAAACCACAAAGAATCCTCAAAAAAAACCCCACAATTTTAGATTTAACTAGAATCGAATGACAGTATTTTTCAAGTGATTGTTCCAATGAGGGCAGGAAAATGCCTCTGAAGTAAAATAATTAAGCATTGTCTTGTCACAAATAGAGATGAACTTTGCTGAACTCAGCTTTGACTCATTTGCCTTGCCCTGGAGTACTAAAGTTAACCTTACTTAACATCCTGGATTGGAGAAAATGTGCAGATTCATGGAGGCACAAATACGGTGGCTTAGAGGGATATATAAACAACGTTTATGTATTCATGGCAAGCATCAAAGATTGATCATGCACAATATCGTATGAAATAAAAAAGATTGCTACTACTAATAGGCTGGGATTGCCATTTCTGGTATTCTAAGGAATGTATTTGGAGAATACCTTTGTCATCATCACTCAAAGGCCTCTTGTAAAGGGGATATATCCTAGTAGCCTGTTCCATCTTGGGACTAGAGAACTTTCTTATATCAAAAAGCCAAAAAACTAGACCTTTGGAACTGATTATCCTCATGGGGTCCCGGCAGAGCATATCTAATTCTTCTTCTACTTGACAGATATTCAGCAGCTTCTTTAATTAATTGCTTTACTTATATTTCTGGAGCAGTAACTATATCCTACACACCATGCCAGACCCTTGGGGCATTGTGATGATCAAGATAGTTCCCCACTATCCCAGGGCTTGAATCTCAGCATGGAAGAGATCTGACAGCCATCTTGATTCTTCTGGTCTACTTAGTCACCCCCAGTTTCCTAAATACTTGTATAAAGTTTCTCTGCTTCCTCTGAACTTTCTCCGATTGGTCTATTACCTATTCAAAGGGTGGGCATAAATAACACAAGGAGAAGAGCAAGGCTTGTCATTGCTGTCCTTTCAGATTAAGTACTTTTCCCTGTGAGTTTCTGAAGTCCTCCTGCCAATCGACCTTTGATTTGATTCCACAGCTCCTTTGTGGCGTTGGAGATAAGCAATGCCCATTCAATCTAAAAGATGTGAAGTAGAGGTCAGAGTCATTCTGAGTCCCCTGATAGTCAGTGGCATGCCCTTTGTAGGAGATTCTTATAGAGAATTGAAACCCTGTACTTCCAGGTCAAATAAGTCTAGGTTCAAATCTCAATTCTGCTATTTACTAATTTAAGTAAGCATAGGCATCCAATTGGTCATGTTGGGGCAGGTTCAGAAGGATTCTGAACTTGGTTTAATGCTCTGATAGCTATTACTATCTAGAAATTCTTAATAATTTTTCAACAAGGTGTTCCACATTTATATTTTGTACTGGGCCCTGAGCATTATGTAGTTCATCTTGTTAGTACTAACAAGTTTCTTGTCTGAGTCTTAATGTCTGCATCTAGGAAAATGGGGAAAAAGCTACCTGCTCCACAGGTGAGCTTCACATGAGGAAGTGAGGAAGTACATCATCAGAGTGAGCCTACCTGTGTGAGTCAATGGCTTGTTATCTAAATTATCTGCATGGACTATTCTGAATTTAGTGTATATTCTGCCAAAGTGAGCCCTTCTAAATTTTGTATACCATTAATTACTTTTTTCTTTTTTATAACTCCTCTATTCCCCGAATCAGATAATACATAGTTGGGGAAAGGAAGTTACTCTTCTCTCTCTCTCTCTCTCTCTCTCTCTTTATTTCTATTACTTTCTTTCTTTTTTCTTTGGTTGCACATGACAGAAACTGTTTTTTAGCTAACTTGTACAAAGGGGAATGATAACATGATCTCAAAACAAACAATAAACAATAGCAAGTCTGGAAAATCAGTCTTGAAAATGAACAGGAACTAAGACAGCTTCCACCGAGGTGAAAAGTCTTGGCAGAAATGGAATGCTTGAACTCCTGCCATTCCATCTGTTTCTTAGTCTGCAGTAGATTCAGATTCCAGTGAGCTTGTGTCCATGACTTAGTGGGTTCATGTGCCCACTCCTAGTTCAGGGAAGAGCAGGACATTTAGTTACAGTAATCCCACAGGTTGAGACTGGAAGGAACTCACCATAAGGGAGTCTCATCAAGAGGTCCTGGCATGAAGGGAAAATAGATTCAAAAAAATCAAAACAAAACACATCTTCTCCAAAGTGTCTACTGTGTACCTGTCAACCTGCTAAGATTCACTTACATTGCATGCAGTGCTTACTACAAAGTAGGCGCTCTGTAGGCACTGATCAAATCAATGAATAATTGAGTGAGCTTTTAACTCTTATGCAACTCCTGGAGGTAGGTAGAATTAGTGACATTTACAGAGGAAGAAACTGAAGCTTGGGGAACTTAAACAGTTTGCCTGAAACTATGCAACTAGCAGGTAATAAAGTTGAGAGTCATACCTGGCTCTGTCTGATTCCAAAGTTTTTTTTTCTTTTCCTACTGCATGTTGCCAGATTTTCTTGGGGTGTAGGTGAAAGGCTGTTTTGAACCTTTATGTCTTTTGTAATGATATCCCAAGTCACAGGAGATATAGGCCTGATTGTTCATTGATGGGTTCTAGAAAGTCCATCTGGACTGAGGAAAGTTCATTTTGTGATTCTCCACTAATTTCAGAAGGAAAGGGATCCAAGCCATGTGATCTCTGAGCAAGTCACCTCCATCTCCTCCACAGTAAATGGGATGATAATGGAATCTTTCTGTTACAGTTTGGAGGTGAAGTGTCCCGAAACTCCTGTTAATGCAGGAATATTCACAGGTGAAAAGATTAGATTAAGAGAGCCATAACCAAACGAGGATGGACTGACTGGGTGGTAGCTGCAGACAGGTGTGGCATGACTGGAGAAGGGGAGTCACTGGGCTGCACCCTGGCTTAAGTCACTGACTAGCTATCCTCTGCCTCACCTGGGGCCCAAAGTGATGGAGTCCATGAATAAGGACTGGATCTCTGAAATGGTGAGCTAAAAATAAACTTTTCTCCTCTAAGTTGTTCTTGTCTTGTCCTTGGTCACAGCAATGAAAAACAGACAAACACACTCCCCATGAGACAACTGTGAGATTTGTGGAGGGGATGGCTTTGGCATTGATCCTGTACATAGAACCCTCCCCTGCACCCCCACCTCACCCTTGTAGGAGGAGGACCATTTATTTGTCTTTAGTCTCACAAAAGTTTAGAGAAACAGAAGAAAGAGCTGGGCTGGAGGAGGCATCAGTTTTCACTGCAAAATTAAGACTCCACCAGATGAACTAAGATAGAAAATCCATTGCCAATAAGCCATGGATCAATGTTTTCTTACTACTTCAAGTTTTTGTTTTAAGTTCAGGATATTAAGATGACTTCTTTTAGACTTATTCAAACACACTTTGTAAAGTCGTGTATTGATTTTGTATATATGTAAAAAAAGAAAAATATAGCAAAATAATACATTGGTTAAGGTATTGGACTTTTTTACATTCTAGATTGTCTACCTCTTCTGAAGCACTTTTCAACTCAGTTTTTAATCAGTTTTTTTTTTTCACAACATCATCAAATGAGCTATCAAGAGAGTTGGGGAATGCAACACTTCTTAAAATAAGGCATTTATTTTCTTGGAAATTTTCTGACAAGTCACTGGTACCAATTCACAAAATCTGATGCTGGTGCTATATAAATATATATTTTTTAATTTACTAGAAGGTAACAGTGAAAGTTCTCCAGAGGTCCATAGGTAGTTTGTTGACTAAGGTACCAAAGACTGTAGTTGTTGAGTCACTTTGTACCAGAATAACAACCATGTTTTTGCAATCAGGCATTGAAACTATGGCTCAGCTTCACCTGTCCTACAATATCATCTGTTGTAAAGGAGAAATATTTGCAAATATTTGAGAATATATGATCAAACATGTCCAGTTTTATATATTATATAGCAGCATTTAAAGTCATATTTTTTTCATGATATAAACCAAAATCAAATTAATTCTAAGACTTAGATCATAGAGAGGCCTGTCCTATCATACCTGGGTATACTTTTCCTCTCACTACCATTTTATTACTATAGATTGTCATCAAATTTTTGATCAATGAGTGAAAAATGAATCTTTGAAAGGGATGAATTTATTTTTTTCTCTTCTTTCTCCTTAAGTAGAGAAATATTTGTTAACTAATTTTTTATAACAATTTGTCATGTAAAATTGATGAAAGTAGTGTTCTGGTTAGAGATGCATGTATGTATAAGTTTGTATGTGTGTATCACCTGTGTGATCTATACGTCCATGTGCACATGTAACTGTGCCTGGGCATGAGTGTGCTTTGTCTCTCTGTGTGTGTAATGTATTAGCTAAGTGTGAGTATGTATATATGTGTGTGTGAGTGTGTGTTTGGGTGTGTGCATACATTTTTGTGGTTTGTGTGTCAGTGTGTTTATTATGTATCTGTATAACTATATCTGTGCCTGTGTCTCTATTCTGTGTGTGACATTGTGGCTTAGTTTGTATATGTGTAGTACATGTGAGTTTGTATGTTTGTGTGTTTTGTGTTTGTATGTGTGTCTGTATGCTGTAGTGCTGAGATTTGGACGTGACTTGAGAGTGTTCTCCAAGGGTTCAGGTGCTGGAAGCTTGGTCTCCATTATGGTGACTTTGAGAGATGGTAGAACCCTTAAGAAGTGGGGTCTTGTGGGAAATGATTAGGTCACGGGTATTGTTGCCCTTAGGAGCCATTGATGCTGGTCTCCTTGAGTGAGTTAGATCTCATGAGGGCGGGTTGTTATAAAGCAATGCAACTCCACACACTAGTTGCCTTCTACGTGAGTTGTTGCCCTTTCCACTTCTCTTCCATGTTGTAACATAGCTGGGACTTCATAAAGTACTCAGTCTCAGGTATTTTGTTATAGTAAACAGAAAAACTAATGTACTACATGTATATGTGCCTACATGTGTGTGCAAATATGTATATATGCCTGTACTTATATATGTGCATCTGTGGGTATGCTTGTATGGATTTGTGTATATGTGTCTATGTATTTGAATAGGGCTGGTGGGAAGGGCAAAGCTATACTATGCTATTCTGTGCTTTGTGCAAATTAGACAAAGTTGCCCTCTCTGGTAGGGCAGGAGTGTCAAAGGCATAGGAGCTGGCCAGCAGAGTAGTAATGGGATTTCAGTCCCACTGGTTCCCCCATCTGGCCTTGGAGCAGAGAACAACTTTGTAGGGGAAAGGCATATTTTGGAAGGCCCAAATGTCTATTTGGGCTGTGCATGCCCCTTCCTATAGAACCCAGTCTGAAGACTGCCATTTGGAAGTGACATGATTCCACAGTGTTTCATGATAGACATCAATTATCTGAAGTCCATGTGCTGCTTGGCTCCAGAAGTCTCCTTTTTGACTCAGTCTTGAAGGCATTGAGCATGCTTTCCCAGCAGGCCTTCTCGTCCATGCCTTTTCACAAGTCCCAGTTAGAGACTGCCTTGTCATCCTGACATGGTCTTGGACTCACTTCTGCCACCTGTTGCCTCATTACGAAAAAACACATGTTGGGGTTTAGGGCAGCATGTCCTTGTCATGGCTCATCACCAAGTTTGCACTTTTATTAAAATGACTCATGGTCAAGAGGTTGTGGGATTGTGATCAGGTGGCATGGGGGGTGGTGGATACAAATGGCAAATAACTAGTTTTGATGGTTCCAAGGGAGGAGTGGGAGAGCAGTTTAGACCTAGAAGAGAAATGGGTGCTGCAGGTTGAAGCCAGTGGGATTAGCAGGATTTACACTCATTTGAAGCCTTCACATCCAATACAAGCCGCCCACCTCAGCAGCTCAGCAGAAACTCCCTCTTCAGCAGTTTAACTTGTAGTGTCTTGTGATAGATGACCTTGGGCAAGTTGCTCAACCTCTGGGAGTCTCTGTTTCTTTAGTAATAATCCCTACCCACTCATGTGGGTGGTGGGAGAGATAGCCCAGACACTGTACATGAAGGTCCAGAGTATAGAGCTTAGCAAGTGTTAATTCAGTTTTTCTTTCCCTTTCCCACTTAATATATATTTTTTGAGTGGAGAGATGAAGGTAGTCATGCAGGTAGACAGAGGGCAAGTAATAAATGGCAGGCAAGTAATAAAGCAAGCTGAAACATTTCCCCAATTTTGGAAATGAACTAATGGTAACCTCAGAGATGGAGGGTGTGAAAATTAGTGATAAAATGTGGTTCGGGGTCATCAAAGTGGGGGCTCAGGCGGCTCTTCTAGTCAGTGATTTCCCCTTCTTGATCATCTGCTTGGTCTCCAGTAAACTATTTTAGTTATTTTCCTCCAGGTATGATAGCGTAGATTTAGGAGAGATGGGGGAGAGGGAGGTGTGTGTGTGTGTGCATGCATTGGCACCCATTCCTGCCGGAGAATCAAGTTAAGGGGAAACTGAGGGGAATCTAAATTGAGGAAGAAAGAAAAAAAGAAAGATCAAAGAAAACAAATCTGAATAGTAATGAGGGACCAAGTAAGGGCCCTACCTAAATAAGGGTTGTCACCAGTTATGTACCTGCCATTACAGAGCACTCTGCTCATTGCTGAGATTACAAAGTAGAAGTCAGGGCTTTTGCCCTCAGAAGCTTCTGATCTAGGAAATGGAATTGGGTAGAAGACAAAGAAGTACTGAGCACTTACTGCCTGTTTAGCATTGGTACAAATGTTTAAAGTACGATGTTCAGAGACAAGTACTATTTTTCTCTAAGGTGAAACTAAACTTCAAATAAGTTTGGAAATGTCTCCAGATCAAATGAGCAATCAACTGGGAGAAAAACACAAGGCCTGTCTAGCTGTAATGACCTTGTGCTGCCTGAAGGACTTTGAATAAGGCTACCTACCGGGTCAAGCATGTCAAAGGGAAAATTCACTTGACAAAGATCCTCAGTTCAGTGCCAGAGGAGCAATATTTGATTATTATTGCAAGAATATAGAAGAAAAGAGATTTTTCTGAGGACTCAAATGGAAGGAGAACTTCACACAGGATGTAGATCCTCAACTTGATGACAATGGTAGAATAGAAATCCAAAAGGAGAAGAATGAAGGACATGGCAGGCTAAGGGAGGCATAGAGGGTGCCAGGGTGGGAGCCCTCACCTCTAGGTGTGTATTATGCAGTGTGGAGTCCTGCAAGGAATACAGTCTACAGTCTGCTCCAAACTTGCTAGTGGTATGACCCTAAGCCCATTACTGACTTTCTTTAAGCCTCAGCTTCCCTATCTGTACAATAGCTGTGATAAAAACAGCATGGATAAAATCAAAATCAATGTATTTACAGAATCTGTTTTCTCAGAATCACTGATTCTTAATGTCTGCTCTTTTGTGAAAACAGGTCCAATGTCTATTCATCTCAGCACTCTCTCTCTGATGCTTAGAAAAGTCGGCATTCAGCAAATCTTTGTTAACTGAATGAAAATATAAATGTATGAATGAATAAGTGAAGCACAAACAAATAAATACTGATACCTATTTCTTGCCATGACTCTAAGAATCTCTGGGAAAATGTCTCTTTTCTGCAGTGAGGAGGCAGGTTGCTGATATAGGAGGAAAGTTTCAGAGAATGCACCTGGCTTCCACAGCTCACTGTAGAGAGCACCAGGTCTCATCTCTGCCTCCCGAAGCTGCACAGAACCATCTATGGGCAGGAAGGAAATTACACAAACCTCCAGTTCAGCTGGTTCCGGGTTTTCACAACCCAGCTTCTTCTGTCTTGCTTAATTCGGACATATTGCTTTGCTGGTGTGACTCATGGTGTGCTTAGTGCACAATGACACTGCATGATCCCCATGCTGCCCAACAATGACCCTTAGTGATGTCTAGACTTTTCAATAATCAAGTCTTACAATCAAATGCAATACAGTAACCCTTTAGGTAGATTTGGCGAGGAGGAAAAGGGGTAAGTCACAAGGCATTTGCTATGTTTTATGAGAGGGGTGAGGACAGGGAACTGGAGGATACAGAGGATGATATGTGGCCCAGCCTAACATCAAACAATGTACATATGATTGAATAGCATTTATAACTTTTCAAAATGTGATTACATATATCATCTTTTCTTAGTTCCCTGGAAAGGAGAGAAGTACAGATAACATTTGCATTATTATTTGTTCTTATTGTATATGAAGAGAGAGACTGGGGCCATTGGAGGTGGTGGTCCAGAATATTGATCTGATTTCAGTGGCTGTCTTACTCCTTTCTGTGCTGCACTAGAGTACTGGACAATGGGTAACTTATAATGAACAGAAATTCATTTCTCACTGTTTTGAAGGCAGGGACATCCAATATTAAGGCAATAACATCTGGCAAGGGTTTCTTGCTCCTTTATCCCATGCCGAAAGGAGAGAGGGTGAGAGAAGACAAAGGGTAAGGCTTGCCTCATAACAAACCATTACTGAGACTACAACATTAATTTATTCATGAGGGCAGAATTCTCATGGCCTACTTACTAAATAGGTCCTACCTACCAACACTGTTGCATTGGGTATTGAGTTTCAAAAACATGCTTTTGGGGGACATTCAAATCATAGCAGTGGCAGACATGAGCTCACAGCTCAGACCTCATGATTATCTGCTAGATATTTCTTCCAAATCACACTGTCATTCACCTTTATGTTAGGCAACAGTGTGAGTGTGCCTGCAATGTCACAATAGCACCACTTTCTGAAATGTGTTCCCAGTGCACTTTTTTGTTGAAATATTAGAACAGAATAATCCAGGACTGGTAGACTAAGGTCCATATGTCTCATCAGTCCATTGCCTGCTTTTGTAAATAAAGCTTTATTGAAACTTAGTTTTTCCTATTCATTATTTTCTATGGCTGCTTTTATACCACAATGGAGAGTTGAGTAAGTGCAATGGAAACTGGCTTACAAAGTCTAAAATATTTACTATCTATCTGGTCCTTTACAGAAAGTTTGCCACCTGCTGGAGTAGGTGAATGGAATAGAGGTAACTGGAAAAAATTGATTGATTCATTTTTTTTACATAAATGAAGTATAATTTCTCATTCTTCTGACTATACATGATGTAGAATCATACTAGTCCTATAGTCATGTATATGCATAGAGTAATAATGCCTGATTCATTCTACTATCCTTCCTACCCTCATTCCCACTCCCTCCCTTCACTTCCCTCTACCTAATCCAAAGTAACTCTATTCTTCCATAGCACCGCCCCCTTTATTGTAATTAGCATTTGCTTATCAGAGAAAACATTTGGCATTTGGTTTTCTGGATTAGCTTGTTTCACTTAGCAATATATTCTCCAGCTCCATCCATTTACCAGCAAATGCCATAATTTCATTCTTCTTTAAAGTCGAGTAATATTAGATTGTGTGTATATACCAAATTTTCTTTATCCATTCAACTGTTGAAGGACACCTATGTTGGTTCCATAGTTGAGCTATTGTGAGTTGAACTGTTATAAACATTGATGTGGCTGCATCATTGTAGTTGCTGATTTTAAGTGCTTTGGGTATAAACTGAGGAATGGGATAGCTGGGTCAAATGGTGGTTCTATTCCAAGTTTTCTGAGGAATCTCCATACTTCTTTCCATAATGGTCGTACCAGTTTGTATTCCCACCAACAATGTGTGAGTGTGCCTTTTCCCTCAACCTTGTCAACATTTATTGTTGCTTGTATTCTTCATAATTGCCATTCTAACAGGAGTGAGATGAAATCTTAGAGTAGTTTTGATTTGCATTTCTTTAATTGCTAGAGAAATTGAACATTTGTTCATATGTTTGTTGATTGATTGTATTTCTTATTTTGTGAAGAGTCTGTTAAGTTCCTTAGCCCATTTATTCTCTGCGTTATTTTATTTATTTATTTATTTATTTTTTGTGTGTGTGTTAAATTTTTTGAGTTCTTTATATATCTTAGAGATTAATGCCCTATCTGAGTTGAATGTGGTAAAGATTTTCTCCCATTCTCTCTTCATGTTATTGTTTCCTTTGTCGAGAAGAAGTTTCTTTGTTTGAATCCATCCCATTTATTGATCCTTGATTTTACTTCTTGTGCTTCAAGAGTAACCAAATACTAGGCCAACATGGTGAAGTTGGGCCTACTTTTTCTTTTGTTATGCACACAGTCTCTGGTCTAATGCTTAAGTCTTTGATCCACTTTGAGTCGAGTTTTATGCAGGGTGAGAGATAGAGGTTTAATTTCATTTTGTTACATGTGGATTTTCAATTTTCCCAGAATCATTTGTTGAATAGGCTATCCTTTTTCCAGTGAATGTTTTTGGTGCCTTTGTCTAGCATGAGATAACTGTATTTATGTGTGTTTGTCTGTGTCTTCTATTCTGTATCATCAGTCTAGATGTTTGTTTTGGTGCCAATACCATGTCTTTTTTTGTCACTATGGCTCTGTAGTATAGTTATTTTTTTAAAAAATTTTCATTTATATATGACAGTGGAATGTATTACAATTCATATTATACATATATAGCACAATTTTTCATATCTCTGGTTGTATACACAGTATATTCACACCAATTCGTGTCTTCATACCTGTTCTTTGGATAATAATGATATCACATTCCACCATCATTAATAACCCCATGCCCCCTTCCTTCCCCTCCAACCCCTCTTCTCTATCTAGAGTTCATCTATTCCTCTATGTTCCCTCTCCCTACCTCTCTATGAATCAGCCTCCTTATATCAGAGAAAACATTCGACATTTGGTTTTTTGGGATTGGCTAACTTCACTTAGCATGATATTCTCCAACTCCATCCATTTACCTACAAATGCCATGATTTTATTCTCTTTTATTGCCGTGTATATATGCCACACTTTTAAAAATCCATTCATTTATTGAAGGGCATCTAGGTAACTCAACTCAAAATGGATCAAGAACTTAGGAATATAACCAGAGACCCTGCATCTAATAGAAGAAAAAGTAGGCCCTAATCTCCATCATGTGGGATTAGGCCCCAACTTCCTTAATAAGACCTCTGTGGCAAAAGAATTAAAATCAGGAATCAACAAATGGGATGGATTCAAACTAAAAAGTTTTTTCTAAGCAAAAGAAACAATCTGTGTGTGAATAGAAGGACTATATCTTGGGAGCAAATCTTTACCCCTCACAAAGATAGAGCACTAATCTCTAGGGTATATAAAGAACTCAAAAAGCTAAAAACCAAAACAACAAATAACCCAAGGACCTGAAGAGACACTTCTTAGAAGATGATGTATAATTAATCAATAAATACATGAAAAAATGTTCATCATCACTAGCAATTAGAGAAATGCAAATCAAAAACATTCTAAGATTTCATCTCACTCCAGTCAGAATGGCAGCTATTATGCATACAAACAACAATAAGTGTTGGCCACCACATGGGGGAAAAGGTACACTCAGACACTGCTGGTGGGACTGAAAATTGGTGCAGCCAATATGAAAGCAGTATGGAGATTTCTTGGAAAATTGGGAAAGGAACCACCATTTGACCCAGCTACCCCTCTCCTCAATCTATTCCCAAAGGACTTAAAACAGCATACTACAGGGTCACAGCCACATCAATGTTTATAGCAGCACAATTAACAATAGCTAATCTGTAGTATAGTTTAAGGTATGGTATTGTGATGCCTCCTGTTTCACTCTTCTTGCTAAGGATTTCTTTGCCTATTCTGGGTTGCTTATTTTTCCAAATGGATTTCATGATTGCTTTTTCTAGTTCTTTGAAGAGTGTCATTGGGATTTCGATAGGAATTGCATTAATTCTGAATAATACTTTTGGTAGTATGGCCATTTTGACAATATTAATTCTGCTTATCCAGGAGGATGGGAAGTTTTCCATCTTCTGAGCTCTTCTTTGATTTCTTTCTTTACTGGTCTATAATTTTCACTGTAGAGGTCTTTCACCTTTTTGTTAGATTGATTCCCATTCACTCATTCTGAATAGACAGTCTATCATAAATAAAATGTGAACTGGCTTTAGACCCAAGTTAGAATTTCATCTTGGCCACTTAGCTGGATGATCTTGAGCAGGTTATTTATACTTTCTGGGATTGTTTCTGCAAGTATCACTTTATAAGGTTGCTGTAAGAGTTAGAAGAGGCAAGGAACATAAATCAGTTATGCATAGGTTTGGTCCTACATGACAGAAAACACAATATAAAAGTGTCTTACACAAGAAAAAAATTTATTTCTTTGATGCAGAGGTCTGGAAATGGGCAGTTGGGTATTGGGTCTGGTTTGGTGCTGCATGGCATTAGGAACCCAAGTCCTCTCATCTGGTTGTCATGTGTGGCTTTTATTCCTGAAGTCCTTTCATGGTCCACAATGATCGCTAGAGCCCTAGCAATTATGCTTTTGTTGGTATTGATAGTATGATAATAAGAGGAAAGAACTAAAAATTCAGATACATAAAGGCCTAAAAACAGAGCTATCCATAGAGGCCAGACAGTAAATCTGTGCTGATTCAAGTCTATCCAAGATGAGATCCCCTGCCATCGACCATGAGGCAACCAGCATATTCCATTCTTGGGACATACTAAGGAAGAGTGGGAAGCATATCTTATATTCAGCATCAAACACTTGTAAAATGTTTTCATGCCTATTATTCATTTGTTCTCCACAATGCTTTGGAAAAACTTTTAATATTATTCTGATAGTACACACAAATCGAACCGTGCTGAGTAGCAGTTCCTAGAGTCTCCATCTAGTTCTTTGGATAGCTGTTGGAAATGAAAGGTGAACAATCATGGTAGGAAATAAAGAAAATGATCCCAAACCAAAATTTCTAAAAGAAATGAAATGCAAAGATAGTGAGCTAATCCCTTGGCTTTAGCCATGTCACTTACTGGAAAAGTAAGGTGTGTGAGTATTAAATAAGGTTGGTGTGTCTGGTACCCTCCAGACTGTAAGTCCCTCAAAAGTAGGGACCCATCCATCTTTTAGATTCACAGAATGTCATCCCCACTACAGAGGATGAGCCCCAGGATAAGATAAGTAAATTCCTCTAAAGCATCAGGAACAAGAGCTGGCACAAAGTCAGCATTGAAGAATTGTAAGCATTCAGCCGTTTACACTATTATTTACACCAGCCTACACAACAGACCTGATGCTCCACCAAGGTTCTGGGCTCCTAAGGAGCTGAGTTTTTAGGAAACACATTTGACACACCCATCACCGGCTGCGGAGAGTTTGCCTGGGTGCATTCCGCAAGAGGAGCTCCCAGACAGAGACGCTGGCAGCCCGAGCTGACCCAGGGCCTCTTGGTGCCTTTAAAACAAGGGAACGCTAGAAGAGCCAGGACTAGGCTGTGGTGCTGTCACAGTCTAGCTGCTGGGCTGCGCTAGCCCAGAGAGTCAAGCCCAGGGGCTGGGAGGCGGGGCCGGCAGACCCTGACCAATCCCAGGCAAGATTCAAAGGGCCAATGGGGGTGCGTCTTACCGGGGCCGCGACCGGCGCGGGGCGGGGCTGCAGCCCGTGCGGGGACAGCCCTGGCAGAGTTCGGTGCTGCTTGGCGCGGCAGTGCGCAGGCCCCACTAGGTAGAATGTAATTTCAGATTGGACAAGTAAGTGACCCCCCCCTCCTCAGTTCCACGTGGGCACCAGGGGCTTTTGCAAGCGCGTAGGCCGTCAGCGCGCACGTCCAGGAAGACGGTTCCCCAACCTGTCAGTGCACCGGGTGGGTGCTTCCCTCCCGTACATCCCTTGGTGCTTGCCTCCTTTGTCCACCTCTTTCGGCCACCTAAGGCTCATGCCATCCAGACCATTGGCTCTGAAAGACGCTGTAGAATTCCTTGTGTCCTCTCCTGGATGAGGCGTCTGGCCACTCAGGGGAAGGGTCGACCTTAGCTGCATCACCGAGGCTACCCTGGAGATGACAGGAACCCAGGGTCCTTCCTCTCTGATCACTGTCCAGTGAACCGTGTTCAGTTACTCTCTTTCCCCTACAACCCCCAGTTTTAGGGTTTTTGGAATTTTCTAACTCAAGTTTGGCCACCTAGTAATTTTTAAGGCCAGTGCTGTTTGTAGCTTTGGAGCTTCCAGCTGCTGATGAAACTGTTTGAGGTGTACTTAGTTTTAGGTAGGATAATGATGTTGGGTACAGATCTGGGTAGGAAAGGCCTAAGGAGGACCTTTTCATTTTCATTAATTTCCTTCTGTTTAAAGAATGACATTATGCATAATAGTGAATTTCCCCATTCATTGGCTCTTTTCCATGAAAGCACTTCTTAGGTTTTCACACTCATTTCTTCCCTAAATGAAAGGGTCAGTCATGACCAAGATATGATAGGGCAGTCATCTTAGGTTAAGTTTTAAAGTGTGAGTTTGGAAGGCTTGAAGTGATTGTGCTTTTGAATTGCAAATCAGTAAGAAAGAAGAAACATCTTCTCTTAGTTTGTGGATGGACTTAAATGGGAGGTTTTGCTTTGTTTTGTTTTTGCTTGCTTTTCTCCTTTTTCCTATGCACTAAGTATTATGTCCCAATATCTTCTTAAAGATATTAGCAGAGTCTTCCAGTCAGATGACTGCTGCTTTCTGCCTTTTGGAAGTCTCTTGTTGATGTGGTCTTCATGTCTAGTTCTTGACCTGAAGGCCACTGGCCCGGGTCTTGGAGGGCCTAGCTGAAGAGAGCACCCTATTTGGAGGCTCAGAAGGAGGAGGATTTGGGGGACAGAACAGTGAGAGTGAGAATGACTTGAAGATTGATTTTGAGGGGGAGGTGGTTGGGAGCCTCCCTGGATGGATTTGGAAGTCAAAATGTGTATTGGGAGAAGGAATAAGCTAGAGGGTGGGGCTCTGTGTGTTTCTGGATAAAGTTAAGAAATTTACTGGGAGGAGACCCGGCCTACTTCCAAGCTGTGTTAATTTTGCTGTGGGCCTTGTGTTTTTCCTGGAATTTGGTTCCCTTTCCCTAACCTTTTACTTAATTTAAATCACACTGAATTAACAGCTGATTTTTAAAAACAATTTGCAGTAAGGGGTCTTGCCTTTAAACTCCCTGTCAGAGGAGTTCTAACCCCTCCCCCCTAGCGATTTGAAATCATTGCTTTGCTAGAATTTAACAAAAGAGATCCGTAACCACTCACCTGCCCACCTTTTTATAATAGAGGACACCAGCATTAACCTAGGTATTAGAGGAACTTATTCAATTTAATTCTTTCATGTGTTCCCTCCTCTTGTGGCACAAATTCTGGACCTGGCACTGTGGTATGCTCTGGGGAAGTAAAGATGAATAAAATTCAGTTTCTGCTTTCAAGCTTTAATCCAATATGGCACAGAGTTGATTAGTACAGTTGGGCAGGAAAGGGTGAAGTAGGAACTCTTGGAGGGCTCAAGGGTCAGATTAGGAAAGATCTGATGAATCATCTTAAGGGAGTTTGAAATATATTTGCAGGACAATCAGTGACACACTCAGATTTATGTTTTAGAAAGTTAGTTCTGGCTGCAGGGTAGAGAATGAATTATAGTGGTGAGGACTGGAGAGAGGATACTGTAGTACAGGTGAGAGATGTATTAGGGTATGAGTTATGGGAATGGAGAAAGGTTAGGAAATCAGAAAGTTTGGGAATTAATGTCTGATTGAATTTAAAAGATGAAGAAGGATTTTATTAGTCAAGGTACCACCAGCAAGAGAGAAGACATTCTCAAGTATATTTTGTAACAGCTTTATTGAGGAATAATTAACATACAATCACAAAAAGTATCTAATTTGAGAAGTTTTGTCATAGGTATTTATCTATGAGACCATTATCACAATCAACCTAAAGAACAAATCTAATACTCCCAAATATTTCTTTTGCCCTTTGTTATCCCTTTCAATATAATTTTTGGATTAAGTTTATATTAAATCATATTAAAAATGAGATGTTTTTTTTAATTGAATTTTTGTAGGTCTTTATGTGTTCTTATTTTAAGTTCTTTATCATGTATATGATTTGCAAATAATTTCTCCCTTTTTGATGCTTATCTTTGCATTCTTATAACAGTGTCTTTTTGAGAGCAGAAGTTTTTTTTTTTTTTAATTCTAAATTAGAAATTGAACCCAGGGGTGCTTAACCACTGAGCCACATCCCCAGACCCCTTTTTAATTTTTTTGAGACAGGGTCTCACTAAGTTTCTTAGGGCCTTGATAAGTTGCTGAGGCTGGCCTGGAACTTGCAATCCTCCTGCCTCAGCCTCCCAAGTAAACTCTGCTGGGGTTACCAGGCATGTATCAGCATACCATGGGAGGAGAGTTTTTAATTGGTATGAAGTCTAATTTATCAATTTGGAATTTTGGTGAAGTTTTATTAGTTTAATTTCCTATGGATCATGCTTTTGGTGTTGTATATAAGAAATGTTTGCCTAACCCGAGGTTTCAGTTATTTTCTTCTGGTTTTGGTTTTATATTAAATCTGTGATTCATTTTAAGTTAATTTTTCTGATTAGCATTAAATATTGAATGAAGTGTTTTGCACATGGATAACAATTATGCCATCATCACTTCTCAAATGCCTACCTTTTACATTCAATTGTCTTTGCATTTTTGTTCAAAGATCAATCTAGCATATATATATATATATATATATATTCACACATATGCATATATATACATATATATTAATACATGCTTATTTCTGCATGTTTTCTTTGGTTCCATTGATCTCTGTCTATTATAATGTCAAGACCACATAGTCTTCATGGATATAGCTTTGTAGTAAGTATTGAAATTATTCAGTAAATTCTTTAACTTATTTTTTTCAGTTGATTTGGTTGTTCTAGGTCCTTTTATTATTTTTAAAAAAAACGCTCATAATAAAAGTCTGTTTATATTTTAATTGAAATTTCATTGAATTTATATTTAATATGAGGTAGAATTTGTCTTAAATATTGAGTCTTCAGACCCTTGGACACAATATATCTATTTCTTGAAGTCTTACTTAATTTCTCTTGATAAAGTTTCATAGCTCTAAAGTAGATGAGTCTTGCACATTTTGTCAGATTATCTGTAGGTATTTCATATTTTTAATATATATTATCTCTTAAATTTTCAATTTCCAGTTGTTTATTGTTACTTCTGTATTGATCATATATCCTGTAATCTTGTGAAACTACTTATTAGTTCCAAGAGCTCCTTTGTAAATACCATCAGATTTTCTCTCTTGGCAATTGTGTCGTCTGTAAATAAAAACAGTGTTACTTCCTTCCAATGGGGGTGCTATTTATTTATTTATCTGTCTTGCTATGTGCTCAGGCTTGGACCTGTGCTTTGCATTGAAATGATGAAAGCAGACATTTATTATTGTCCCTTATTTTAGGGAGAGGCATTCATTTTTTTGTCTTTAAGTGTTTTTTTTTTTTGTATGATGTTGGTTATATGTTCTTGGTAGTACTTTATCAGGTTTAGGAAGTTTCATTCTATTCCTTTTTTATTAGTTTATTTATTTTAATTAGGTATATATGACAACAGAATGCATTTTGATTCATTGTTCACAATTGCAGCCCATCTTTTCATTTCTCTGGTTATATCCAATATAGCATCACACGATATGTGCAGTCATACATGTACTTAAGTTAATGATGTCCATCTCATTCCACCATCTTTCCTGCCCCCCATGCATCCCCCCTTGCCCAATCAAAGTTCCTCCATTTTTCTCATGTTTCCTTCTTCCTCCCATTGATCAGAGAGAACATTGAATCTTTGGTTTTTTGGGATTGGCTTACTTATCACTTAGCATGATAGTCTCCAGCTCCATACATTTACCTGAAAATGCCATAATTTTGTTCTCTTTTAATGTGGAATAATATTCCATTGTGTATATATACCACAGTTTCTTTATCCATTCATTTATTGAAAGGGCATCTAGGTTGCTTCCCCAGTTTAGCTATTGTGAATTGAGCTGCTATGAACATTGATGTGGTTGTGTTATTATAGTATGTTAGTTTTAAGCCCTTTGGGTATAGTGGGAGGAGTGGGATAGCTGGGTCAAATGGTGGTTCCATTCCAAGTCATGCTATTCTTACATACTGAGAACTGTTTATGGTGAATTGTATTTATTTATTTTTTGAATGTTCAACTAACCCTGAATTTTTTAGATAAAAAAATTTGATCAAATCATATTATCCTTTATACTTGGATTCAATCTGCTAAGCTTTTAAGAATTTTAACATCTTTGTTAATGGTAAATATCGATTTGTAGTTTTCTTTCCTTGTATTTTCTAAGTTTTGTTCTTTAGGTACTTCTGCTCAGCTTGACTTGTAAGATATTCCTTCCTGTTTGGTTTTCTGGAGAGGTTGAAGTAAATTTGCTATTATTTTTCCTCAAAGGTTCAATAGAATTCACTAGTAAAACCATCTGAGCCCTGATGGTTTTTTTGTTTTTTAGGGCGTTGGTTTGAGTACAAAGTCATTTGATTTAGTAGTTACACAACAGTTCAAGTTATCTGTTTATCCCCCTCCCTGGCCTTATTGAGGTATGATAAACAAAAATTGTACATATTCAAGGTATGCAACATGATTTTATATGTATGTACATTGTGAAATGATTACTATAATCAAGCTAATGAACATGGTCATCTCACACAG